GCAATAATATAACCTGCCTCATATGTGTGCTTGTGTGTTTCTCTTAGACAAAAGGAAGGCTCAATACAAGTCAGGTGAGTAATGTTTGTATCTCAGAAATCTCCTTGCTGCATCTCTCTTAGGACTTGTCCCTATAGCAGTAGATAGGATGCAGAAATGCAACAAAAATGTCTGTGTTTGGCAAAAGAAAAAAAAATCTTTTAGCATTAACTTTGTAAATTTTAGTAATTTCAGTGAATTTTCTCTGAAATGCAAACTGGAAGTGATCAGCATGTCGCTCTTCCTCTGCTTCCTCCTTACTTCCTTTCCTTCTTTATCTCCTTTCTTCCCTTCTTTCTTCCTTCTCCTTTCCTTCCTTCCTCCCTTCCTATTTTACATTTTAAGGTCTCTCCTTCCTGTTCTGTTTCCATTCTTTTGACCTTCTATTTCTGCCATATTTCTACCTGTATATATCTGATCAATTTTATTATCATGTTTGAAAAGAATTGGTATTTGAAGTAATACAGGTTAGGAAGAGGCAATCTAAGGGATTTGGGGGAAAATGGAAAAAAAAAACAAGGAGAAAAGGGAAGGAGAAAACAGGAAAGGAAAAAGTAAAGACTTTTTCATATTTTGTTTCTTTGTAGTATGGAGGGATGCACCATTATATCCTGGTGAGTAACATTGCCTTCAATGAAGAAAAACCTACAATCCAATATATTTTTTTATTTTTTTAGATTTATTTATTTATGTACACAAGAACTGGGGTACAGCCAGAGGTGTGGGGGTTGAGAGTTCTCACCAGAGACAGATTGGAGAACAGAACAGGTGGACTGAATGAAACAAACTGCTAAGAGGAGCAGCGGACAAGACAGGAAAGGTCTGCTGTGCCATATGGGTTATCTCCCTGGCCAGGGATTGACCTTGTGCCACAATGGCTGTGGACAACTTCATAGTGCTGCATCTTAACCCCTGGCACCACCAGGGAGGCCCCCAATCCAATATTTTAAATGAACACCTACTATTTACTCCAAAAATATACTGATAATCAAAGAAACTCTGAAGTTGCATTCCATAAGATCATAGATAGCACAATATTTGAGAGATAATAATATATTTGAAACAGTAGATTTTAGCAGTTGTTATTGTTAATTGCATTTGACATTGTTTTTTATTGTACGTAGGGCAGTTATCTTTTAAAGTAAGAGAAAATTGAAACAAAAAATAAGTATATATTTGATCAGATTCACAGTCTTTCCTATTTATACTCAAACAAAATATATTATATATATATATATATATATAAAATATCCTGTGAGATATATATATATAAAATATCCTGTGATGATATATATATATATATATATATATATCTGGGTGTTGGGCTGTTGGATGATGACAGCATGGGGATGAGGCAAGTCTTCAAAAAATACATAAAGGATTGTAGAAAGTTTCAAGTATATGAAAGAATATTTCCTAGGTTGATATTATTCTTGCGTTAAACCTCAGGAATTTATATGCACAATATTCTGGAAATACAGGCAGCTTTATATATAAATTAGATGGTGTGTTCTCATGTTCATTTGTTCCTTGCAGATTGGAGAAAAGAAGAGTTTGAATTTGGTGAGTGCATGATGATACAGTAGGGAATACGTTCTACTGAGGTAGTCTCAGAGAATGGTGAGAGGAGGTGAGATGGATCTTCCCAAATCAGTGGAGTCTTCAAAATGGGACCCTCTCACCCAGGTGTATTGAAATCCTTCTCAGAAACATGACATTTCACTTGTTTTTGCAGTAACTGTGATACTGGATGCAGAAACTGCCCATCCTTCCTCTACCTGTCTGAAAATTGGAGACAAGTAACTTATCAAGAAAGGTGTCAAGATCTATCTACCTCTACACAAAGATTTGATTGCCTTCCTTGTGTGCTTGGTAAACCAGAAATCAGCTCAAGGAAATTTTACTGGGACATCGAGGTTGGAGACATGAAATCATGGGACCTCGGGGTTTGTAGGGATAATGTAACAAGGCAAGGGAGGGTCACATTGTCCCCACAGAATGGCTTCTGGGTTATAAGATTCTATGAAGAGGTGTATTGGGCCATCACTTCCCCAGAAACTCGTCTTATATAAGATGTAAACCCCATAAGGTGAGGATATTCTTGGATCATGAAGCTGGGCAGATATCTTTCTATAACATGACAGATGAATCCCATATTTTCTCCTTTCCTCAGAACAAATTCCAATACAATGAGGCTCTAAGACCATTTTTTAGGCTTTGGCCCTTTGACTCCAAACCTTTAACTATATGTCTGGAGTAAGAAAAGAACAGAGTGATACTGCAATTAATATGCCTTTACTTTCATGAAAAATGATTACTTTGGGCCCTGATAATGGACACAATTTTCCCCTAAAAACCTATTGATGTCTTTTTCCTTTTTATTCAATGATTCTCAAGATGAAGTTATGGAGCTGACTGGAGACTTACTGCTATATAAAGTGGTTTTTATTCCTTAGTTATAGACCTTCCCTTATATATTGATCAGTTACAGTATGTTATAAATATTAGACTTCCTAGTTTCATTTGCTGTTTGTGACTGAATGATGGTCAATGAATTATAACCGGATTATTGTGTATGACTCCTGGGATGTATCCTTAAAAGGAGATTGTATCCGTATTTCCTTCTATACTTTTTCTGCTGACTGGAATATTTCATGATGTTTGGAACTCAAAGAATATCTATGACCATGTAATGTTGCATGTCTGACAGAGAAATTAGAATTGAACTTGGTTTTTGACAACTTCATGGAAATGACTCCATTGCTCAATTCCAAAATTCTTTTAAGTGAGAAATAAACTTTATATCTTTAGGCCATTGGCACATTGGGTTGTGTCACTTATAATTGAATCTAACTCTGATTGATACACTCAGGATAGTAGTAGTGACATACACAGTTGAATATTAAGACTATACCAAGTGTATAAATCCTGACTTAACCACCCTTTTCCTCTACTTGTCAGAGTCTCTCAATTTTGCCTGAACCTCTGATCCCTGTTGACTTCACTTTCTAGCCTTTCCTATCTAGATATTACTATGAATAATTTCAAGTAATTATATATTAATAAATGAAAATTCCTGGTGTGATTGTCCTATCACATTGAGTTGGCAAAACTCCAAATGTGGACACATATAGTCATTGTGCTAGGTTAAACTGCAGTAAAAATTCATATATGTCAGCCACATATTACTCTATACATTTGCAGACAATTCTCAAAACTTATGCCAGTACTGTCTAGTATTTATCCTATTGTATCTCCAGTTATTTGAATTTCCTTATTTTTGTACAGTCAGTTTCATTAACAATTCCGATTTCTTTGAATTTCAAATTCCACTGTTCCTTATTGTCAGCACTTTGAATAAGAATACAAATAGAGAATAGTATAAGGATTAAAATAAAATAATAAAATAAAGGATTAAAATAAAATAATAAGAAATAAGAATAAAGGAATCCTTGGGCAAAGGTTATCAATAGCAGAAATAGCACTATTAAAATGAAATGAAACTGAAATGAAATTATGTACAGGTAAAGAGGCACCCTTGGGATTTATATAATACTGTAAGTATGATACAATATTTTAAATAAAGCAGTAAAATGTATAATAATAAAGAATAAGAACCTATCAAAAGAAAACTGACTGAACTTCAGAATAATTAATATGCAAGCCTCTTTATATCTGAGTTCTATTTATTTATTTTTGCTCTTGTTTTCCTTTGCTGTTGGAGTTGAGTTCCCAAAGACATCAGTGAAGTCAATGCCATGGAGAGTTTTACCTTTTTCTTCTTTGTATTTTAGGGTTTCAATCTTACATTCAAGTATTTAATAAATGTTGAGATTTTTTGTGCATAATTTGAGATTTTAATGTATATATTTTACATATGGCTACCTACCCAGGTGTCCCAACAACATTTGTCCAAGAAGTTTTACATCTTCCATTACATACACTTACTCCTTGGTCATATTAACTATCCATATAAGAGTTTGCTAATTTATAGATTCTGTATTCTATTCCACTGTTATGCATGTCTAATCTTATTCCAATATCATGCCTTTTTTATTATTATAGTTTACTAGAATAGTTTTAAGTCTGCCAGTATGATAACACCACTTTTGTCCATTGTGAGATTTGTTTTGGTTTTTTGGAGTCATTTATGGTTTATATATATATATATATATAAATTTCAGTAATGTTTGCTCTATTTCTTGAAGAATTTCATGAAACTGATAGTGATTGCATTGAATCTGTATACTATAAAGTGACCATATTAAAAATGTTAATTCTTCCAATGTGACATATTTCTATTTCTTTGTTTATTTTATGTCTTATTTTATTATTTATTAATGGTTTTTATTTATCAAATTTATTATTATATATTAAATTTTATTCTTAGATACTTAATTCATTGAAAGTTTGAATATTATTGTTTTCTTTTTAAGAAAAATATCTGTTTATATGTATTTTACATCATTGCTCATTTTGTTTTTTTACAATGTTTGCTTTTTTTCTTTAGGTGTAGTTCCCATAGAATTTCCACCACCAATTCACCCATGCACTATCACCACTGTCCCTTGTGCTCTTCCTGCCCTCACTTTGATCCCTCTCCCTTGTCCTTCCCTGCAGGATGTCTCTGATTTATAGTTGCCTCTCTAATTTTTTTTTTTTTGCGTTGTATTTTCCACTTTTAATTTTTCCCCTGATCCCTTTTTTGGTTCCCCTATATGCCTCCTATAGTGAAACCATCCCTCTGACTTGTTTCACTGAGCATAATCCCTTCTAGCTCCATCCATGTTGCTAGGAATGACATTTGTTTATCTTTTTTGATTGCTGAATAGTACTTCATTGTGTATATATATATATATACTACATCTTCTTGATCCAGTCGTCTATTTTTGGTCATTTGGGTTGGTTTGAAATCTTACCTATTATAAATAGTGCTGCAAAAAACATAGGGGTGACTGGCCGAGGACTAGGAGGTCCTCGTGCTGGTAGATCAAACATGCGCTTTACTAGCAGTCTCTACTGGCGGACTTTCTTCTTCTCAGAGTTCATATTCTCCAAGCAATAGGGAAGTCATGGATCCTATAGCTGAGCTTTTATCTCAGTTATCAGGAGTGAGACGTTCTGCAGGAGGACAGCTTAATTCTTCTGGCCCTTCTGCTTCTCAGTTACAACAACTGCAGATGCAGCTGCAATTAGAACGGCAGCATGCCCAGGCAGCAAGGCAACAACTGGAGACCACACGCAACGCAACCCGGCATACTAACACAAGCAGTGTCACCACTACAATCACACAATCCACAGCAACAACCAACACAGCTAACACAGAAAGCAGTCAACAAACTATCCAGAATTCCCAGTTTCTTTTAACAAGGTTGAATGATCCTAAAATGTCTGAATCAGAGCGCCAATCCATGGAAAGTGAGCGTGCAGACCGCAGCCTCTTTGTCCAAGAGCTCCTTCTGTCCACTTTAGTGCATGAAGAGAGCTCGTCCTCAGACGAGGATGAACGGGGGGAGATGGCAGATTTTGGTGCTATGGGCTGTGTAGATATTATGCCTTTAGATGTTACTTTAGAAAACCTAAATTTGAAAGAGAGTAATAAAGGAAATGAGCCTCCACCACCTCCTCTTTGATGACATCCCAATTCGCAGACAATGTCCTCTGTGCTGTATTTGCCAATGAAAGTGGACAACAACTATCTTGGGTTTGTTTGGTGATTTTAATTTCAGATCTGTCACTCTTGTTACATTGTGTACATTCAAAAAGGAAGAGAGAAAATATATATGATAATCATTTCCACTTAACTAATTTTTACTTCTAGCAGGTAAATGTAGGTAGCAGTGTAGGGGTGATCTCTGCTTCCTGTACCTTGACATGCAAAAGGCTCTCCTAATACTCCACATTCAAACTGAAGAGGAAAATTGAAATCTCTAATGAAGCTGCTGTGTGTATTTATGAATATTAATGAATAAAAACTGCTTGGATGGTTTACCTTAAAAAAAAATAGGAGTGAAAGTGTCCTTTTGAATTAATGTTTACGTTTCCTTGGGTAGATCCCCAGGAGTGGACTTGCTGGGTCATATGGTAGCTCCATTTTTAGTATTTTGAGGAACCTCCACACAGCTTTCCATAATGAGTTGACCAGTGTGCATTCCCACCAGCAGTGTAGGACAGTCCCCTTTTCACCACATCCTCTCCAAAATATTTTTTTTGTTTTTGTTTAATATGTGCCATTCTTACTGGTATAATGTGGTATCTCATTGTGGTTTTAATTTGCATTTCCCTAATTATGAGGGATGTTGAGCATTTTTTCATATGCCTGTTGGCCATTTGCATTTCCTCTTTGGAAAAATGTCTTTTAAGTTCTTCTGCCCATTATTTGACTGGATTGTTTCCTTTGTTTTTGTTGAGTCCTGAGAGTTCTTTTTATATTTTTGTGGTCAGTCCCTTATTAGTTGTATGAAGTTCAAAAATGTTCTGTCAATCAGCAGGGTGTCTCTTTGTTTTGCTCTGCAAAAGATTTTTGGTTTGATATAGTCTCAACTTTTTTTTTTTTTTTTCCTTCACTTTCTTTGCTTTGTGTGATGAGTTTTTAAAAATGTTACAGAGATGTATGCCTTGGTAGTGTTTTACCTATATTTTTCTCTATTTTATGTTTTCAGGTCTTATGTTCAGTACTTTCGTGCATTTTGAGTTGATTTCTGTGCCTGATGTGAGGTAGTAGTCTAGTTTCATTCTTTTGTTTGTGGTGGTCTGTCCATTTTTCCCAGCACCATTTATTGAATAAACTGTCCTTATCCCATTGCACATTCTTTGCTCATTTCTTGAAAATTAGTTGTCCATATATGTGTGGCTTTATTTCTGGGCTATTTGGTTCCATTAGTTTGCATGTCTGTTTTTAATCCAGTATCTTACTATTTTAATTGTTATGGCTTTGTATCATAGTTTGAGGTCAGGGAGTGTGATACCACTATTCTCATTTGTTTCACTCAGGAGGCCTTTGGCTATTTGTGGTTTTATTGTGACGCCATATGAATTTCATCAATATTTATTCTATGTCTTTGAAGAATATTATTGAGATTTTTCATTTACCCAATAGCTATGAAGTGGCATGTCATACAGCCTCTATACATTTGAGGTTTTTCCCTCCTTTTTGAGAGTGATCTCTAATTTTATTTCATTTTGATCAGAGAAGATACTGGGCATCATTCTAATCTTCACCAGTTTACTGACACTTGTTTTGTAATCCAATATGTAATCTAATCTTGAACAAGTTCCAAGTGAAATTGAGAGTGTGTGCTCAGCTTATTTGAGGTGCTGTGTCCTATAAAATTCCATTAAGTCTATCTGGCCTAATTTTGTTTCATTGAAGGCTATTGTTTTCTTAGTAATTTCCCTCTGATTAATCAGTCCATTGGATAAAAAAAAGTTGAAGATCCGTAGTACTATTATGTTGCCAATGACACTTTTAAATTTGTTAATAGTGGACATATATTTGAATGCTCCTTTGAATTGTGCACATGCATTGATGAAGACTATGTCTTCCTGACATGTTGACATTAGCTGTAGGTTTGTTGTAAGTGACTTTTGCTGTGTTAACGTATGTCCCATATATTCCTAGTATTTACAGGATTTTCCTTATAAATGAATGTTAGATCTTATCAAATATTTTCTTGGAATCTAATGCTATGATTATATGATTTTTATCTTGCTTTCTGTTTATGTGATGGATTATGCTGACTGATATTCAGATATTGAACCACTTTTGTGTCCTTGATATGACTCTTACTTGTCATAATATATGATCTTTTTATTGCATTTTTGGATTTGGTTTGCCAAAATTTTATTGAGGATTTTTGAATCTTGTTCATAGAGGAATCCGATTTTAGTTTACTTTTCTTTTTTGGTTTTGATGTTAGAGTAATATTGGTCTCATAAAATGTGTTTGGAAGTGTTCCTAGTTTTTTTCAATTTTTTGATAGACTTTGAAAAGGATATGTATTAGTTTAGTTTTGAAGATTTGTTAAAATTCACCAGTGAATCCATCTGGTACTGGACTTCTGTTTTGGGGAAAGTTTTGATTACTATTTCAATTTCCTTCTTTGTGATTGGTTTGCTACATATTTCTATTCCCTCCCTATTCAATCTTGGGTGATTGTGTAATTTTAAGGATTTTTTCAATTTATTTTAGGTTATTGTATTTATTAGCATATAAAATTTGATAGTAGTCTCTACCCTCTAAATTTCTGCAGCATATGTTGTAACTTTCCCTCTTTTTCTATCCTACTTATTTGAGATTTCACCCTTATTTTATTACTCAGCTTAGCCATAGTTTATTTTATTTTTTCAAAGAACCACATATTCGTTTTGCTGATAATTTTGACTCTTAATTTATGTTTCATGTATTTCTGCTATGGTTTTTATTATTTGTTTTCTTCTACTGATTTGCAAATATACATTAATTATATCTTCAAGGATTTGAATGATATGGAGATATTGGTATTGATTCTCATCTAACCTCTTTTCAATTTGTTTATTTGATCTATGCAGAAGACAAATGGATGTTGGAGAATTAGCATGAGTTATTATAATCTTAATCACTTGGTAACTCCAATTGCTGCTGCTACAAAAGATGTGGTTTCCTTGTTTGAACAAATTGACAGAGGCTCTAGTTTGTAGCTATTGATTTGAAAATATTTTTTTCTTGAAATGTGTTGATAAAGAATACTAGAAATAGATTGCTTTAAGTTTTTAAGGACAGCAATGCCCCTTCCTTCCCTCCTTCAGGGGCATATCAACTTACCTAACCTGAGTCAAAATTAATCCTCAGGGAATTTGGTCACCATATTCTTCCTTGATGCATTTCACTAGTAATGTAATCAATTATATTGAAAAAATTATGCTGATTGGATTCATTGAATCTAAGTGGCAAATTTTCTTCCAATTTATTGGTAAGGTATTAATTAGTATGTCAGAGGATGTGGAATTTACCAAATGCATTGCACCTTCTACCTCAACAAGACTTATATGATTCTAGTGGTGTAAGGCATATCAAGATATGCCCTCTAAGGTAAAGGATAAATTGTTGCATTTGGACTCTTTCACAACCAAAAAATAGCGACAATGCCTAGTGTCCCACGTTTATGTGTGCTGAAGTATCCAGTTATCAAGTGACTAGAAAAAAATGCTAGTTTGAGTGAGACCAAAAAAAAAAAAAAAAAAAAGAAATTGCTGCATCAAGACTAGATTGCCAGAAACAGAATGATGTTGAGACTTTGTCAGATCCCTATTGGCGAAGCATAGTATGTACCTTAAGGTGTTAGAGCAAATCTTTGCTTCTTGTCCTTTTTAGCAATTCTTAGTTTTATTATTAGGCTTTATTAGAGACTAAATACTTAACCATAGACCACAACATTGACATGTGTTAACTTTGAACTGGGTGTTATCTGAACCACAATTACATACAGTTGGATATAAACAGAAGCACTCTATCATGAAATGAAAGATATATATATATATATATATATATATATATATATATATATGGCATTAAATTCAGAAGGCCCTGATGAAAAAGGTAAATTATATGAATAAATTACCCAATGCTCATTGTCCACACTCTTACTACACTCTCCTCTTCACACACACAGTCTTTGCCTATGAATTCATAGGGAATTCTCTAAAGTTAGTTGATAGACTAAGATAAATCTCAGGTCATGTTTAAAGATATTTCTGTGAGACATGTAGGCACCACCTAAAATCTGGACACTAGCAACTGTACAGAACCATTCTGGGACATCCTAAAGGACAGTAGTGAAGGGAAATCCTCCCAATGGGTAGAAATTAGAGCAGTACAACAGCTGTTCATTTCACATGAACAAATAGTACAAAAAGCCAATCATGAGTTTATATAATAATGTATGGGCTGTGGCAAATGTCTCTGATAACAGGGCAGCATGGGGCACTAATTCTGGCCAAGGACACTGCCCAAATATTTTATCGGTCACTGTCTGAGTTCTTCACCTATGAAGCATAATTGCCAAACGATGCAGGTTCAGAAAACAACAATAATGGGGTTTATTTAACAAACCAGAGAAAAACAAAGAGTTACTTAGGCCAAAAATGGCTGTTTTCCACACCCAAAGCAGTGTCCAGTATTTTTAAATACTAAACACAAATCCCAAGATGGCATCTTCCTGCCACTGAGGACCTGGAGTATGCAGCAGCCAGGCTATAGGCAGGGATCCAACTCATGAAGACAGCAGAATACACAACAGGAGTTGCTCATGGAGCTGCTGAGATGCCTCACCACAGCACCAGACAAGAGATACTCAAAGCAGCTGCAGCAGCTGAACCCTCTGACACAAAGCCACACTCACGCAGCTCAGTGAAGTGCCAGCTCCAGTTCTTAGACTTCCCTGTCTGGCTGTAACAGCAGTAAAACAGAACAGGTTCAGTTGCTCTGCTATTTGAAAGGCTCTGAACATTTCTGCTCTCAGGTTGTCTGCTGGAGGCCTCCCAACATTTAGAGGCCCACAACAGCCTTCTGGAAGATCAACATGAGGGGGCAGAAATTGCTGACCCCAAAATAACTGAAGATCTGAAAACGCTGAAATCCAAAAACTGAATCCTGAATGCTGAATTCCTAAACACTGAATCCTCCAATGCTCAATTCCAAACACTGAGTCCTGGGGGCTGCTTCTGGAGTCTCTTGTATTTCTTATCATAGTCTCCACCCACACCAATACTTTGCATTTTCCCTGGAGCTATCTATCTTCACCAGCACTCCCCTGGGTGGAGGCAAGGGAAGGGGTGGGGGAGGGGGAGTAGTGGGTACAGTGGGGGGTGGGGGGGTAGAGTAGGGGGATGTTGCAAAACCTGTAACACTCTTTGGCTTCTGCTACCAGTTACAGTTTGGCTACCTCCTCAGTGATATATAATATTATATGAAAATAGATGACAAGGAAATTTGGGTAAGGAGGACGTATATA